TTTTCATGCCCAGGAATAAAGTTTGATTCATTGAGCAAATACATCAAACCGCAACAGAGACTCTCCGTAGCTTTCAAATACCCCTCTTTATTTTCAACTCAAGACTATTCGTATCAATGTGACAGCGAGAAGTCGGTGACCAGCAACCCGTAAGCGACAGCGAATCCTTACCCCGGATGCCACTGTCGCAGTGCCCGACTCCATGACTCGAGACCCTGTCCTTGAACGGTCCTACCAATCCGCTCGCGGGACGATACGAACCAAGTGGATTTTCTTCAGACAGATCAGCAAAAATAGACAGAAGTTAGTTCTTGATTTACGACCAACTGCCGGTGTACCTCACGTGTCTGAGTATGCACCAAGGAAGAGAAACTGCTATTGGATTGGTTATCATTTCATAGGCCGAAGACCTGGTTTCAATTTACGAAAACTCTAGGTTAATAAATGCTTCATTTATTTCAGTAAATAATGAAGAATAATGCTGCTTTATTGCCCAGTGTCGGAAGCCACGCCTCACGATACCTCAAGTGCCGGAGCCGCTCCGGCTTCCGCTTCGGATGGTGGATCTCAGACGACCGAACCGGAGACAATCATTACGGAATCCCAGATCACCGTGCCGATCGTGTGACCGCTGTAGCAAGCATGACGAAGCATGACTGCTTCCGCGCCACACTCCCGTCCTGACTTCTCCGGCCTCCCCGGATCTAGTTCCGGGCCTCATCAGCATGCACGACATTGTCCTCTCGGCGGGCTCCACCGGCTTTGCCATGCGTGACGTTCCACATGGGCCTATAGCTATGGAACTTGGACGGTTGAGTCGTGTCCTCCGGGTGTTCGGACTGTCCTGCGTGAACCACGACTTTCAGACCCGGAAGGTTCTCCGTCTGGATAACTTCTCCCGGCACCTGTCCCGAAATTTGGTAAGCAACAAGGTGTGATGCCCGGGGTCTCGAAGATGGAAGGACTTACAGCAACAACAACCCATTTCAGGTGCTGCTCGAGATACTTCTCAATATGTTCGGGCTCGAGAGATGTTAGGTCCGCCCACGCGTTGTCATCACTCACGGCCCGGAACAATAGTTCCAAGGTGATGGGAACTTGAGCCTTTGCCACGACCCCCTCAGCCTGCTGACCCTGGCAATTCTGGCAATCCACCCCATTGGTGTTGCCGGCAGTCCAGTAGTCCGTCGAGAAAGTGTGAATGCTACCAACATGGTTGAGAGCGGCCCGATACTCGGAGGGACTGCTTGGTACATCTCCTTTAACGAAAAAATGAACTGCGTAGCTTCGGCCATTGAGGGCAAATCTTGTCACAAAATGCTTAGTAGCGACCGTGATGCGAAAGATGTCTGGAGCGCTTACCTGTCGTACTGAACATTGATGACATAGTCATTTGCTTTCCCTGCCAGGTTTCGATTCGCGTGAAGATGCTTCCGGAGAACGCCGTACTTCTCGTTGATGGTCTTCTGCAATGTAGCAGGGGGGGCGCTGAGATCATCGTAAGTATAGCCGTAGGTTGTGGTGGCCTTCACGTTTTCGGAGGTAATGAGGGTGCCGTTGGTATCAGAATGGAATGGGTGAAGAGGACCTGTCGACGTTTCGTCCTTAGTTGGAGAGCCCCCATCAAACCAATGGGTCGGGTTGAGTGCCTGAAAAATTGCCAGTTGTCGGTCAACGTTGGAATGATGCAACCAAAAGATAGGGTCGAAGGCGGCAACCGTGAGGAAAGCCATGTGACCCATGCCTGTTTTCGCGTCATCTCCGCCGGTCCAGACGTGGATGCAATTGTGAAGGAACTCGAGAGACAACCAGCCAGTAGCAGGCGGAGGTGAGAGCTTGGGGTTGCCGTATTCTGTAGTAGCGAAAGTGGCGTAGTCCGGGAAGTACCCCGCAGTCAAGAGACGATGAACTTGGTCCTGAAGAGAGCCCGTCATGTTGGGATCGAGCTTGTGTTCCTCCATAGAGTTCCAATCGGGTGTCTGTAGAGCCTCGGCGACTGAGGCGTTGTTCTCAATGCCCAGAGCTTCTTGCGTTGTCGGGGTGTGCTTATTGGTGATTCCATAACGACTAGTCCCCGAGCAAGCATCAAACTGAACATCCCAATAAGTCTCATGTTATCATTTCCAAATATCGATGAGTATGTTCGACTTACCGGTTTAGACTGTTTGCCCCTAATTCTCCAGATGCCAAACGCCGTCTCGTCGTCCATGGCAGTCGGTATTCCCTTGAGGGCGCTGATGACTCCGGTTGTAAACATGTACAATGGATTCTGTACCTTCTGCTTAGCAATGCCATTTGGAGAGACAATTTCGATCTCCTGAAGGGAAACAATTTCAGGCACCCCGCATGTTCCAAGATATGTCTGAGGCATGGCCCAGTCCCAGTATGGCAGGCGCCAGCGCGTGATCTCGAGGGCCCATATGTCTTGCACGGTCTTGTCCGCAATGGTTGGGAGAATTTTGCCTGTCATGATCCCGCTGAGTAGCTGTTCGTATAGGGCGAGGTAGGCCCGGTGCCAGGTAGGGAAAATCAGAGATCCATGTGGGCAGTAGAACTGGGGCGTGGTGGTGATGGGAAACTTCTGCTTCTTGTTTGGGGGTGGGTCAGTATCCCATGACTGGGCTGGTAAACCATGAATGCCGGCCACTTGGTAGTAGGATAACTTGTCAGACGGGTCCATGGATTGAAAAATGTTCAGAGCTTGTATGAACAGCGACACTTGGATGGCGTTTTCAAGCTTGTTACTCCAGGCCGTGATCTCTTGCCGTTGCGGCGGTTCTTGACCAGACGGCACAGGAAGTCCAGTGATGGGATAGGTTCCAGGTGCCATGATGAATGAGATTGGGCCAAGATTTGACTTGATGTTCCGATTTGAAGACGAAGTTTGGAGTAGAAGATGAGGATGTTGAGGTTCGATGTTTGTGACTTACGATACTGGAAGAGAAAGGCATGTTTATACCCTCAACGCCGTCTCGATATGTACTCCAGGCTCGGAGTGTCTTGTTACCCCTCACGATTTTTGATTCATCATTCATCACTTGAGATAGCCTTCTTCTAATGAGGTACAATCATGGCCAACTCACCGCTCCCATGTGCTAACAGGAGAGACACGCGTCAGCGACTCCAGCACTTGATTCCTGTCTTCTCTTTTGTGTCAAAGGTGGTAAGGGTAGAAGAGCGAGACCTTCGGAGTAAGGTATCTCTTTGCAGATGATCGTCAGTCACGTTTACGGCTGAAGTGGTGAGGAACGAATTTGCTGTGTTTGGGCAAGTGAAGAGGCCTAGAAGATATGACCTGGAATAGGCGATGTGAGCTGAGAAATGAGTGGCGGTCAGTAGCCATTCCCTTACTCTGCTCCTGGCTGTTGAGGACCCAGGCTCTTCTCACAGGACACGCCTTGACTCCTCGGCCTGCCTTTTTCCTCTTCTAGATCCTCCATCGCAGATGATTCATAATCTCTGGTTGTACACAGGCGAATGAAGGGATCCAGGGCTAGGTTTAACGTAGCCTCAAGACGATAACGTGGTGTTTGGATGTCTGCCCCCGGGAGATACTGTATATCAACATACTATGAGAGAATATATCCCGACTTACCAGTATTCTCAACTGCCGGCCGGAAGGGTGAAGGAGACAAGGGGTTAACGTAGATAGAAGTTTTCCTCCTGCCAGAGAAGTGAGACCCGTCTCACATCAGCTCAGCCACTCGTGGAAGTAACGGGAGAGGCTCGAGAAATAAGGGCATTCCAACGTATAGAGGATCTAGGAAGCAGCCATTCCTCCAGCTTGAAGCTCTTTTTGGATACGGGGCGGGCCGTCCTGTCGCATGCGTCGCGTTGCGGGGTACCGGCAGCGGCTGAAGCAAGCCAAGCACTGATGGCGCGCAGACCGCTTCTCGAAGTGAGCTTTAATTGGTGGTAGACAGCATCGACAAATCTATCATATAAGTCTGAGGCATTTCGACCTTTTGGCTACTAGTTGTCTCGGCCTAGATTTTCACTGAATGCATGCAGTTTGTTGATCGCACTCCTTCGAAGCGGCCGTGTGATTGTGCTGAGATCAACTTCAAGGTCTCCGGCAAAGTCCACGAAATGTTTTTGGGCAGGAGATTGCTCCCCATAGACCTGGCAACTTCACAGCTTAATATAGTTAGAAGAAATGGCAGTCTACTATCAAATAATTGGTACAGCGTCTTTGAGACGGTGCGGTAGATATCTTGTATCAATTGGGCGTATCCTTAAGGTTGAACGATGTCGTTCTGATAAGACTATTCATGTTGGAAGCGAGCTTCACTAGCATGCACCAACTCCCGGCATGTGATGTTTCGCTGGCGCAAAGTAACGGAATTCAAATATTCCACTGAGACGCGGCGATGAGGACAACCGCGACCAGTTTTGGCCCTCAGGCTTCAGACTTCAGACTTCAGACCTTCCTTATCACCTTGATGATATTCTCTGTCCTAGGGCAAAGCCAATTGGTGTCTTCAGTACTCCGTGACTTTCGGAGTATTGCATCTTGTAGATTACTCAGGTATGGAAGGAAGAGGTGGCAGTATTCAGTCACGATTTATCGACTTTCAGCCGTCTTGCATACCTCTGGGCGTGCTTCTTCCGGACTATATGCCAGGGCTATGAGTTTTCTCCAGGGTGAAGGTCTTTATAAACAATGCGGTGCGAACTCCTGAAAGTCCCAGACGAATGCGTTTGGTCCATGAGAGGGCTCCGGCACAATATCTGGCCTTTTTCCAAGAAGGCAGAGAAACGTAAGGTAAGTGGAAACAACTTGTAGCTACTGAGATCATCTGTCACATATTACGTTGGAAAGACCCGAAAGAAGGAAAGTAGTTTGCTAGTTGACCTGGTCTATATCTGAGTTTAACCGACCCAAAACAGCCTCCAAACCAAACACCATGTCTTGGGCCTTCAACAAGCTAAAAGGAAAAAGCAAGGCTTCCAAATGCCACACACAAAATCACGCTCCCATCACCCATCCTTCGCCCCGCTTACACGGCAGCCTTAACCGCCGGCGTCAGGTGCACCATCAGTGGCGGCTTATTGTAGAGAAGGTAGACGTCGTGGTCGATCCAGTTCTTACTCTGGGCAGCCAGCTGGAGGTCAAAGTTCCACATGACCTTGGCGAGAATCATCTTCATCTCCGCGTAGGCGAGGTTCATGCCCAGGCAGTTGCGGGGCCCGATGTGGAAGGGCTTGAGGGCCTCGAGGTGGTCGTCGGCGAAGGCCGGGTCTCCGAGCCAGCGCTCCGGGTGGAATTCAAAAGGCTTAGAGAATATCTTTTCGTTGTGGTAGAGGGCCCAATGAGCGACGCCGATTGTGGTCTGGAGGGGAGATGTGAGTGTTAGCTTGGTTGAGGAGGGGAAAGGGGGAGGGTGCTTCCGGGAACGCACATTTCCAGGGATCCATTGTCCAAGAATCTCTTGTCCAGAGGGCGGCGTGATACGCGGCAGAGCGACGGGAACAGGAGGGTAAGACCGCAGAGTCTCCTCGAGGACGGCGTGGAGGTACTCGAGCTTGGCGGTGCTGAGGAGGTCAATCTCATCTTCGTTCTGGAACGAGGTCCTGATCTCCTTTTGCAGCTTAGCCAGCTTGTCCGGGTTGGTGAGAAGGAGGTAGGTGCAGCCAGACAGGGCTGTCGCTGTTGTCTCGGAGCCGGCGACGATGAGAACATTTGCGTTCTCGTACATCTCTGGCATGTTCATTGGCTAGAAGATGTCGTGTCAGCTTTCGAGAACCGAATAAGGTGGAATCGCTTGCTCGTCTGTGCCAAGGTATGTATCCAGAGACAATTAATGGAGTATGCACTCACCTGAGCTCCCTTCTTCAGCATGGTTTCCGCAAAGTCAGGCCGCGATGTGCCGAGAGATACTCTCTGGTCGACCTTTTCACGGACGAACAACCTGTGAGACATGCCTTTCTTCATGACTTCCTTGGGGATAAAGGCCTTGAGGATAGGTTCAAGGACCTTGAAGCCCCTGGCAATGTTGACATAACAAATCATCTTGATGTTGGTGAAAATCAGCTTGACCCAGGGGTGGTAGTCAGACTTGTCAAGGCATCCGAAAGACTGTCCAAAAGCGAGATCACCAATAATGTCAAAGGTGGTGTAGTTGTACCACGCCACGACATCAACAGGGCCCTTGCTGCAGATACCGTGGAGTCGCTCGATCAGGAGGTCAATGTAGCTCTTGATGATAGGCTGCTGCTCCTGCATGCTCTTGGCGGAGAAGCCGTTCGACAGGATGCGGCGGTAGCGGGAGTGGTCCTCGCGGTTGGCCGAGATGATGTCCATGTGGTTCTTGTCGATGAAGTCCGGGTCTTTGGCGTTCTCTTCGGTCTTGCCCTTGCGGTGGCCCATAATCTCCTTCATCGCGTCTGGGTGCTGGAAGGAGAGCTCGTTAGGCGAGACGCGGATGATCTCGGCGTCGTAGTACTGATGGAGAGCGAGAATCTCCTTGTGCGTCTGGCCGCGGGCGCCCATCAATGCGTAGGGGATACGGGTAGCGGCCCATAATTTGGGGCCTGGGTATTTGCAGAGAGGGTGGAATGTTACGTTGTAGATGATTTGAAGGAGGAGGCCGATGACAACCTGAGACTGTTAGGAACCTGCTCAACTCTGTGGTGGCAGAGGAAAAGATAGGCTATGAGAATAGCATGCTCAGGGATATGTCGACTTACGAGTGAGATTACTACTAGCGGCCATAGGATAAAAGGCGAGAGCCTGGAGCTCTCGGGTTGAATATCTGACAGCATCTTGGGTGCGCTGTTTCTATGTTGAGTGTTTAGAAGAGAAGAGACGTCGGCACACAACCTGACGAGAACGAATCGGTTTTCGCCGCTGCTTCCTATAGGAGATTTCTGCAAGAATAGTAGTAGAGTATGGTGATAGAGTCTTCTCAAAGTCTCAAACGCGGAGGGCAGTGGGGATTCTTATATGCCACTCGGACCGTCTTCATCGATATGGACTCCAAAGTATGGGAGTACGACATGACAGTATGGCCCTCAAATCCCTACAGATTACAACGTCACAATGTTTACTATACACTTACCGGTCATTGGCAGTGCATGGTTTCCGCAGGCCAGGCCATTGGCAGGCAAAACTTCAAACAAGGCGCAGGTTCTTTCTTTCCCCCCCTTCCCCCTCCCTCCCCACGCGGAGCCGTCAAGAGACCGTCTTGCATAATGCAAAGAGACGCTCAATGTACAATGGTGAATGGGCAACCTCCGCGCCTGTCAGTACGCGAGAGGGCCATCTTCGCTACGCACTCACACGAATGCGAGGCAGGCTAATATCAGCGCCAGCGACCACGGCCCGCCGCGCGTCATAGTTCCCCGGCATGGGTGATCTACTAGTGCCCATCTACAATCTACCACTAGGAAGCCAACCTTACTCGTCGGAACTTATTATTCGTCCACTCTTTTTGAGGACGAGAAGAGGCTTGGAAGGCCATGTCGTTCCCGCCAGGGAACCTGTCGGCAGTCGACGTGTTGCAGGGAGGGGCGGGTGAGAAACGGGTATGCCTGATCCTTCCCGCATCGTGTTACTGTTGCCCCCCATGGTTTTACGATGAGTGTCATGACAAGTCGTCTCTTTCTGAAGAGGGCAGTTCGGCTCCGAGACTCGTAAACTCTATGACACTGACAATTCTGGGGCACTGGGGCTCAAGTTGACTTACTGGAGTCAATGGTCTGTGGGCCACCAAGTTCATCTTGGCACGGGGATCTGGAACGGCAGCGTTTGCCGGGGTATGAAGTCAGTCTAAGATGTTAGTCGACCGTCCAAGACTTTTCGAGGCACTGACAGGTTTTTTTTCTCTTGACAAGTTGACATACAGCGACACGGATATGCACGACGTTGCCATGCTTCGACGTTGGACGTTGCACCGCAGTAGTGTTTCCATCGTTTCCAAGAGTGCAGAGATTGTCTCAGAAGCGACACCACGCACGCGCAGTCCCGCCTATGCACCTCTGCGCTCTCTGGTTCGAACGGGCAGATGAGCGGGCATATGGCGTTGTCCCGGGCCCCGAGAAGCGGCATCCCTGCTGCTCGCCCGTTTTCGCTCTTCGTCCATTGTCCGCGTCTTGGCCCGCCTCAAGTCCGCAACGGGCGGGGATGAACTTGTAAACCATGGCACGGTGACACAGAAGGCGGATATCTTCTCTGGGATTTTGGTGGGGTTGGGGGCCAAAAACCTGCCGAAGACCTCGCGGTCCCCCGACTTTTTCTTGAACCTTGGTCTCTGGAAGTCCGCCGTTTCTCTTTGCTGCGCCGCCGGACGGACGGCGAGGGCACGGCTGCTTTTGCTTACTGTTACGGCACCGGCTTTTGGATGCCTTCTCCGGAGCGATTGCACAGTCAGATATCATCAGAAGGCGGACGGCGGATGTGACAAACGCTAATCTGCTGACAATTTCATTCCCCCGAACCGGTGGAGGATAGCTATATCTCCGTACCATCGGCGGAGTGTTAGGCAAAGGCAGCTTTTTCTGACACTTTGCGAGATGGTGTGGTGGTCGCGTATTGTCCCCCCCTCATCAACGTGAGGGTGTGGGAGGGTTGAATGAGCAGTAATTAGTGGTCCGATCATTGGGCTCAACACAGGGACGTTCGTTTCCTCTGCCATAGAACTCTCAAAGCGGCCGAACTACACTTCGGTGTTCTAGTATGAGATTTTGCTTCGTCCAACATATTTGACGCCGAGGAACTTCACACATTCCTGACTCGAAGTCTCAATGTAACAGAAGGCACCTGGCCCATTGAATAGAGAATGCCCAAGTCACATTTGATTTCTTCCGTTGAAGCCAGCATATCCTAATGCAACCTGACTGCTGCCGGAATAAACACAGCCATCTTTGCTGAGCTCCCAAACAACCTGACAATATCCTGCCGAAGAGCTCCTTTATTCCTTCTCTTGGGCAGGAACTCGTGAGCAACGTGCGAGGGAAGGGGGTCTGCGATAACCGACACGATGCAAGATGTCAATGCCGGCCAGCCTAAGCTTGTCAACTGATCGTCCATCTTGCATCGGCCCTGGCGCAAGTCGGCTCCGAATGATACCCCCACCTGCCGGCACGGGGAAGCAAGTGCGGCTTGAAGCCAGCTTGGTTCGATGAGATATAGAATGACCTGACTATGACGATGCCCTACATACAGCGAGGTGTTGCCCTCTTCTGTCAAGAGCTCGGCGTAGTTTATAGGCTTGGCAGCTCCCTGTTCTGTTACTCGAAAGACGGCCTGATCGAAAACCGTTGTTGTGTAACTCACATGCACTCCTGCGGCTTTTTGCCTCATCGGGTGGCTTGCATGACGGAGAGTTCAACAGCAAGACATCAAGAAACGCCTGAGTGACTATTCTCGAGATGCAAAGACGAGGGAATGATTAGGTCGGATGGTTTGTCCGATGGTGCTTATTTTCACAGACTTTTCGCATTGAACACGATGCTGCAACTTGCGGGCAGAAGCGGCTTACCTTATTCATTCGAACCGGCAAGTCATCCCGAAAGGGGGCCACGCCGAGGCGCCGAGGCGAGGCATCCGAGATCGGGCCACGGAGACAGGGGACCGATCGGGATCCCCACAGTACAAAACTATCGGAGCGTCACCGGCTTACTTCCGTCCGCACCGAGACTCGTACCACTTCACCCAGCGCCTTTTCAGTTCTTTCTTTCTAACAAGAAAAATTTCAGAGGTTTCGTTTGAACAGAGGACCATCAGAAAGAGCTACTCTCTTCTCGAATTCTCGAGCCATCACTCATTGACAGTTCATCGCATCCGCAACCAACATGGCCTTCACAGTCCTATCAGACAACAACGTGAAGCAGCTCTTCCAAGGCTTCGGCCCAGAAGACGTGGCCCTCATGTCCGACGTCCTCACCGACGCATTCCTCTCCTACTCCGTCGGCCCCGAAGCGCAGTACCAGCCCCACCGCGCCGCGGTCGTCAGGCCCGACGGCACCACCGGCCTCTTCATGCCGGCCACAATGGAAGGCGGCATGTCCGTCAAGATCGTGGGCCTCCCGCCGCCCAACTCTGCGACCACCGACCTCCGCTGCGTCCTCACGATCTGCGACGGCACCGGAAAAGCTGTAGGGATCATCAACGCCGAGGAACTCACGGCGTTCCGCACCTCGCTCGGCTCTATCCTGCTGTACAGGTACCGCCAGGCGACGGCAAACATCGTAGTCTTTGGCGCAGGTAAGCAGGCGCTGTGGCATCTTCGACTAGCACTCGTCCTCCGCGGGAAGGACATCAAGACCATCACCATCGTGAACCGCTCAAAGGAGCGCCCGTCGAAGCTCATTCAGCGGCTCCAGACCATGAGCAAGGCCAGCGGAGTGGGCAACACCGACTCGGTGACCTTCACCGTCATCGAAGCGACACCGGACAGCGCGCCAGGCAACGCCGAACTGCGATCCGCCGTCGAGGAAAGCGACGTCATCTTCTGCACCACGCCGTCCACGCAGCGCATATTCCCGGCCGAGTGGCTGACCTCGGAGCGCGGCTCGGCCAAGACGCGGTACATCTCGGCCATCGGATCGTACAAGCTCAACATGAAGGAGCTCGACCCGGATTTCCTCCGCGCTGTTGTTGACACGTCCCTCGGAGCCTTCACTTCTACGGAAGGCGGGGCCAAGAAGGACGGCGTCATCTTCGTGGACAGTCGCGAGGCGTGTTTCTTGGAGGCTGGCGAGCTGGTGGAGGCCAAGATCCCCGCTGAGAAGATTGTCGAGGTGGGTGAGTTTACTGATAAGCTTCGCAAGGCAGATGAGGGTGAGGCGGGGTTGCTGCGGGAGTGGCTTGAGAAAGGGTTGATTGTGTACAAGAGTGTCGGTATTGGCATCATGGACTTGTCTCTGGGCAAGGTCATTCTCGAGTTGGCGGCGAAGCACAAGGTTGGCACGATATTGCCAGAGTTCTAAGTTGTTTTCAGATATCAAATACAATAGAGTCTCAAATACTCCGTAGTGCACTTCAAGTTCCGCTACCCCTCCGTGACGTTAGGTACGTTCTTGCCATGTTTTGCTCATCTCGTCCAGGCTATCAATGGGCTCTCCTACCAAGGAGTCAAGACAATGAGAAGCCAGAGGTGTGGGCCAAGTAACTATACAAGAAAAAGCCTATTGGTCAACGAGCGAACGTAAAAGCCAGCCACAACTCATTGGAGACAATGTTTCTTCAACTGCCGGGCATAAGGAAGGTACCAGAGTCCTCCATACAACGTCTTAGGCTATCACATAATGTTGAGTCCAGATCGGAACCACCGACAGCTCAGATACCGAGAGTGCTACAATCGCGTCTGCGATGTAACCATCCACGAATGGGCCTCCTGATTATTTTTGATTCCCCTGGTGACCAAAGGGAGAAAGCCTCTTACATAATGTACCTGGTTGTTCACTTAGCTACACACTCTCCTCTTTCTCGTCAACGTATTCCTTAATTAATCGTGTAGGCGAGATGAGTGAACACTAAGGATAGATGCTGAAATTAAAGAGCTATAAGAACAAATAAGATATATTTATACTAGTCGTCTTCCTCAAATACGGACAATCATTATTCACGTATTCGTAACCGAACAAAGGCAATATGATAACCCGTGAAAGAAGACGAACGTACTATATGAAATCTTGATGAAAAGAGGTTCTTATGCCAGATATAGTCACTTTATCAACAGAGATGATATTTTCGTCGCCATTAGCCGTCGGAACAAGGTCGTCTCAAAATGCCCGCCACTCTGATCAAGTAGATCAAATCAACTCCGACTTTTAATACTCTAACAAGATTACATCCACGTGTCGAATCTCCCTCGCACGGGTAATCTGTTTATCAACCGCTAGGATAAAAATGTCAGAGGGAGATGGGCCCAAGATTCATCAGACGTGGCAAAGTCAAGCAGGTGGAAACATGAACATTACTCAAAATCTATTCCAGGACTCTGAAAAGTCTAGCCATCTTTGACACTCAGCATCCATCTACTGGATGCTTCTCTTTCCACCTCGAGGTGGTGATCTATCTGTCTGTCTTCATCTGGGTTCTACGCAGACTACTATCGCTTCATCTTCGTCTCTTTTCTACACCCACTTGCATCATCATCACCATCTCCTTTTCGTATCAGAGCCTCGCGCCCTCCTTCTTCCGACCATGTAGTCAATGCTTCCTCCGCGGCGCCCGGTGGTACTGATTCGCCCACTTAATCCTCACCCCAATCTCGTCCGCAATCTTGTACACGAAATTCGGCTCCCGCAAAAACTGTCTCGCCACAAACACCGCGTCCGCCTGCGTCACCTGCCCATGCTCCTCGTCAACCTCCAACGTCGCCGCGTTGCCCTGATCAACACCATTATGCCCATTCGCCTCCGCAGAACCAGAGCCCCGGGCCTGCACGATGCTCCGCGCCATCTCGCCACTCGAAATCATGCCCACGGCGCCGATGAACAGCTTCTTACCCTCCGCGGCCAGCGCCTCGCGGATCTTGCCCGCGATGCTGACCTGGTAATACGGCGAGATCTCAATCTTTTGCGCCTCGTTGTTGCCGCCGGAGGAGACGTCCAGCAAGTCGACGCCGGCTTCGGGGAGGAGCTTGGCGAGCTTGATGGAGTCCTCTACCACCCACGAGGGCTTGCCGTCGTACTCCATCCATTCTGTCGCCGAGATGCGCAGGAAGAGCGGCATGCCGGATGGGATGACGTCGCGGACGGCCTTGATGACTTCAAAGAGGATGCGGGTGCGGTTCTCGAAGCTGCCACCGTACTTGTCGGTGCGTTGCTGGAGTTATGTTAGTATTTTCTGTGCCGCATTGTATCATTATGGGAGGGTCAAGAGGGGGTCAGAACTTACGTTGGTCAGAGGAGAGAGGAACTGCGTAATCAGGTAGCCGTGCGCGCCATGAATCTCAATGACATCGACACCCGCCTCGACAGCCCTCTTAGCAGACTCAGCAAAGGCTTTCACCACACCCTGAATTTCCTCAAGAGTCAACTCCCGCGGCGTAGCCCATCCTTCGGTAAACGGAATCGAGCTCGGCGCAACACAGTCATCAGGCCACCCGCCCTCGCTCTCCAGCGCAAGAGCTTTGCCCTTGGTCTCCGTAATCCACGGCGCCAACGTGCTCGCCTTGCGGCCGGCGTGAGCAAGCTGAATACCCACAGCCTGGTTCTGCGAGTGAATAAAATCAACCACGCGCTTCAGCGGCGCGACTTGGGAGTCCTGCCATAGACCGACGTCCTCGGGGGAGATGCGGCCGCGGGCCTCGACACCCGTGGCCTCGATGATGGTCAGCGCCGCGCCGTGCAGGGCGAACTGGCCCAGGTGGACGAGGTGGTAGTCCGTCATGTGGCCATTGTCGGCGGAGTACTGGCACATGGGCGAGACCCAGATGCGGTTGTTGAGGGTCAGGTCGCGGATCTGGAGGGGTTGGAAGAGCGTCGGGGCGGCGGGGGCGTCGACGGGGGTGCCGGCGGGGGGCTCCTGGGCCGGGGTGTAAAACGGCACGCCTGGGGCGGCCTTGTTGGCGGTGCCGGTCATGGTTGTCGTCTGGGGGGTTAATGTTCTTTTGCCTGCGTAGAGGAGACCAGAGACGAGGGTGGTTATGCGGGGATAAGGTGCCGTGTTTTGCGGCGTTTTCTGGCGATGCTTCGTTTGAAGCGGAGGGGGTGGGACGTTTGGCCAGTGGTTTCGAGTTGATGAACTGTTGACAGGCAAGCGGGCAGAAAGATAGATCTGAGAAGGGTCGTCAAGGGGTTTTATCTACAAGGCTAAAAGCGCCGGATCGAACCCCGGGAACCTATATTCCGTGTCGTCACAGCAGTCGAGTGAGACTTGTCCTGATTTGTAAAGCTGTCGATGCGGGTAGTGGGCAGGGTAAGGTCGGTTGGTAACAAACACCTCGGCATCTAGAAGGCGATATGGAGCATGGCGAGCAACAAATCAAACGGCTATTGGATCGAAATCTCTATCTCTAGGCTCAATGCTCCAGGACAGTGGGGGTGTCTATCGAAGCAACACATTTAGCAACAAAGTCGATTTATCAGCGCGGTCTATAGTGCGTCCATCTCAAAGCCTCCGGTGCTTCCTACCTTATCCGACGAAACGCCCTATCAAGACGCCCTAAAGCCCACCTTCTGAACGGCGATTGAAATTTAGTAGGTAGATTGCTCTTTCCTCAATGAAGCCTTCTTATGCTTGCTGAGTAATTGCAGAATGCTATGCGTCAGTCCTGTTGCACTCTGCAGGTCCTTACCTCGCTCCTTCCTGTTGAACGGGAATAAGTTTGAATTGAAAACGGCCTCTGTTCGGAGTGGGTCCACCCCGAGTGGCGTCATTCCGACTTGCCCCCCCCCCCCCCCGCCTTCCTCTCCGTGGCACCGAATCGGCAGCCGTCCAACACCACCCCAATGGTCCAACCTACCTACCCCTCTATTCCTCTCCCTTTACCGGTCCTCGCCAAGTTGCGAACCGAGTTTCTGGTTAATGAAGCGCCGTTTCTTTCTCGAAGCCTTCTGCAAAGACTAGCTCACCCGGCAGCGGGGGTTTCAACTTTGCAAAGTGTCACTATTGACTAGGACATGCGACCGAGTACGGCACCCCAGGTCGCATCCGAATGCTTATGCCTGTAGGTAAAACCGACGTCCCTTGCTCATGTCACCCACCAACCGGTCAACGACCCCAAACTCGGTAGCACAGTGTTCATCCGTTGGAATGGCTTCAATTGTACCACATTCCTTCTGCTGTCTTACACAATCACTAAACACGAGAGTGCGACGAGACTAAGTGTTTGAACCTTGCAATTTCATGTATTCATGAACATACTACATTAGACCATGGCCCGTTAAGGGGCTCTTTGAGTCTATATCCGTTCAGGACCCATCCCTGAAAGCGGTATCTGTTGAATTCCTTACTTTTCCCTGAGTCCCAAACCCGCTTGCAAAACGCCGTGGAGATGTGTTGAAAAAAGAACGCCTATGTTGAATTTGCCCGTAACCTTCCCCTGTTTTTCCGGTCATCCCCGCGGGTATTGCCACGTCATTGTCTGTTGAAAAGACTTATCGATCCCACCCAACACCTAAATCACACTCATGTACACCGCATCAACTGCCCAAACTTAGTTGGAGTACTTCTGGCGGAAGTACTTGGCAGCGTTGACCATGTTGACCAGAGCGGCCTTGGTCTCAGCCCACTGGCGGGTCTTCAGACCGCAGTCGGGGTTGATCCAGAGCTGCTCAGGGCGAAGACCGTTGTTAAGCATCTCCTCGATGCGGGTCTTGATCTCCTCCTCTGAGGGAACACGGGGGGAGTGGATGTCGTAGACACCAGGTCCGATGTGGCGGGGGTAGGCCTTGTCCTCGAAGACACGGAGGAGCTTGGCGTCAGACTTGCTGTTCTCGATGGACAGGACATCGGCATCCAGCGCGGCAATGGCGTGGAAGAAGTCCTGGAACTCGGAGTAGCAGAAGTGGGAGTGGATCTGAGTGGAGTCCTCGACACCGGCGGTTGACAGCTTGAAGGAGTCGACGGCCCACTTGAGGTAAGCCTCACGCTCGGAGCCGGTGCGGAGGGGAAGACCCTCACGGAGGGCGGGCTCATCGACCTGGATGACGTAGATGCCAGCGGCCTCGAGGTCAACGACCTCGTCGCGGAGGGCCAGAGCAAGCTGCTGGGCCTGAACGGACTGGTGAACGTCGTCACGGGGGAAAGACCAGCGCAAGCAGGTGATGGGGCCGGTAAGCATGCCCTTCATGGGGCGAGCAGAGTTGGCGGCGGCGTACTTGGACTCCTTGACGGTCATGGGCTCGTTGTTGCGGCGAGAGATATCACCGACAACGATGGGGGGACGGACGCAGCGAGAGCCGTAAGACTGAACCCAGGCGTGGGTGGTGAAGACGTAACCGTCCATGCGCTCACCGAAGTACTGAACCATGTCGTT